GGGGGGGGGCAGTGAGGTCCGGTCCTGGGTAACCCCCTTGGTGGAATATGGGGTGGGGCAGTGCACTGCAGGATTTCTTAGCAACGGTGCGGGGTCCTGTGAATCGCCGCTCCGTCTCCTGTCCGCATCCCTAGTACCATGTGGTAGAGAGGAGAAGTGTGTGTCACGTGCCCTGCCCCCTACACACCGTCTGGCTGGGATCCTGTGAGGCTCTGGCCAGGTGAGTCTGAATGAGGAGCACACTGTGTGCTGTTATTTTGTTTAATTAGAAAAATAGATTATCATAGGGATGTTGTCTATTATAATCTATTTCTCTGATGAAATGATTACAGACAGGGCCGCTGTTATATCAAAAGTTGTAACTACGTTAGAATGTGTGACCGGTCACGTGGTCACGCATTTTAACGTAATTCCGCCCAGTTTTTTGGCGGTGGAATGTGTGACTGCCAATAGGTGAAGCATTCCAACGCTTTGTCAGCTGTTTCAGGGCAGATCAGCATTGCAGATCATATGTGCAGGAGAACCGATCTGCCCTGGAAAAGCTGATCAGTCTTGAAATGTCACTTATATCCGACTTTGTGAGTGCGGTGAAATGTGGGACCGCAATCACAAAGTCAGATAGAAGTGTCATTTCAGGACCGATCAGTATTGGACAGTGGAGTGATAAGATCATCACTCTGCTCCTCCTGGCTGTAAGCTCCTGATGTTAAAGAGTAATTCCACTTTTGTAGAGAAATACATCAATCCTCTCTGGGTGATCTGTGTACATTACAAGATTTTAACGAACTTAGTTGCATTTTCCTACCTGTTTCTGTTCCGAAGAAAAAGCTGCTTGTTGCAGCATGTCCTTTCCAAACTGGTTCCTAAATGAGAGGGTCTGGGTCCATTTTATTCAGTGGGCTTCCTGTGTTGTGTAGGCTTCCTGTGTCATCCCTTTAGTATTATTTAACCCTGAGGGAGTATCTCACCAAAAGTGAAACTTCTATAGCAAGGGATGCCAACAATTATATGTGTATGTGCAGACTGGGAAAATCAGTCAGCCAATCACAAAAGCAGGGAGTGACATGTCTGGGGGCGTTCTGTACACCAACTGTCAATGGAACGTTTCATGGTCACCATAATGCATTGAATTATTTTGACAGATTTAAAACATTAAAGCAGCTGCAGTTTTAAATGGAGTGGTCATTTTTAATACAATTACATTACAGAATGGCTTGTGAAACAATTATATATGCTATATTATTTTTTTAAAGTGAAGTTACCCTTTAAGATAGTCACACAAAGATCTTTTTGATTTGATCTGGCAGATAAACAAAATTTACCAAACAGTGGTAGTATGTGAATGGTAGGTACATCAATTATGAAAGAAACCATGCAGCTGGTGTGCAGTAATACAGCCTGAGGTCCCCTTACATTAAACCAATACATTAACAATAATTGAATGGATAAGGAATCTAAAGTGAACCTTTTCATTCCAAGTATGATTGTAACTTTCAGAACTTGCAGCTGTTATAAATGCATTCTTTCTTTCCACAAATTGTGCATACTAAACATATTAAACAACCCTGTTACTAATATGTAAATGTTGACTTTTGTCAAAAGTCAGTAGTTAAGCCCTCATTTTCATGTCTAACCGCTCCCTCTCTGCGGCCGACTGTCACAGAGAGGCCAAAGGTGTTTTCAATGTGAGGGCTGTAATTGACGACCTGGCAGATTTAGCTAATGCAAGAATCTATATATCTAAAATTATTTGAACTGTGCAGGCTTAATTATAAACGGTTGAAATATTTATATTTGCACCCTTATATCTGAGCCTGATTCTTGAAGTCAGGGGTGAGAGGTCAGCTGAGGTCTTACATTTGCTGCCTTTTAGTTGCCAGCTGCTGCCATTGTTCCTATCAGTCGGGATTTCAGAGTAATATTCGGTGAATACAGTGGAGTTGACACCTAATTCTGACATTTAGAAATAGAAAGAGCAGCAAGGTGATGACTGAGATTGCTGGAGGGACTTGTAACAAAGAGATAAACTAAATGCCTAAAAGAAATATCATTCTTTCTTTGTCTCCCTATGGAAGCCTATTTGTATATAAGCTTTACTGACCTTTTAATAACAACATTCCAGTGGAATTTACTCCAGCGGGACCCATCAATCACATTATTTATTAAGTTTGAGGAATGATTTGAGAATATTAGCTTAAAGCATATCTAAACCCAAGAACAAAAGTGTAATATACTACAGCTTACCAGTTGGTGGTAATGGTGGCTGCATTAGATTGCTTTTGTCAGTTTTTTTAAAATGTTATTTTAATCTGGTGATCGTGCCAGTAACACACTTCCTGTCTTAGGGTGGCAATGCTCACTCACCATACTGCATCTATGGAGAAGCATCACTGTCACCATAGGACAGGACTGCAAATAGGGCCGGATTTACTCTCTCTGCTGCCCCAAGGCCAGGTTCCTCAATGCACCCCCCTACCTGCCAACCCCCCACCCCCCCAATGGAGAATTGCAGACCTGCAGTGGCATACATCGCCAAGATCACTTGTACAAAACAAGTGACAGCTTCCCCGATGTACATTTAGCTCTGTTTGCCCAAAGCAGGGCTAAATGTAGAAAACAACTACCCACCCGGCACCCAGAACTGCATGTCCCGGGCATCGGGAGATTGGAATTCCACACCCCTGCTGCCCCTCTACTCCCTGCTGCCCCAAGGTCGGGCCTTGGTTGGCCTTGTGGGAAATCTGTCCCTGACTGCAAACATGTGCCCCTCTCCTGTTCTCCATCATTTAGAGGATATATACAGATATATCTAGGAACAATGTAACTGATAGGAATGTAGCATAGGCAGAGAGGACAGGAAGTTATAACTTGACAAGATTTCTGGCAGGATCAGGTTTTTTTTTCTATCGAACAGATTTAACAAAACATTTTCATTTGTGTATTTATAAGTCCAAAAGAAGGAAATAGGAGAAGTGCATTGCTAGGGTTTAAATACCCTTTAGGTGTTCCAGAAGACATTTACATTTTGGTTTAGATAGGAAGCAGTAAGCTTTGGTGGAATAAAAATAATAATACTGAAAACACTTAAGACTGGCATACAATATACAATACAATCTAATTGTACAATATCTGTACAATGTACTTTAGGCTTCTTAACAACTATGTAGCCCAAAGGCTCTAAACAAGCCAATCCATTTTTACCCAATCGGGCCAGCCCTCACACTACATAGGTGGTACTTACTCATCAATCTGATTGTAATGTGTGTGGTCAGCTTTAGTATATTTTGCTAACAAGAATTTAGCTCTGTTTCTGAGTGCCAAAAGCGTGACTCCAGCCAAGTTTATCTTTTACATTTTAACATAGCTTGCTGGCTTTATGCCATTGTGTCACTCACCCCTAATTTAGTCTCACAGGATTCTATAGAAAAATAGCACCTGATGGGTAACTGTGCCTTTGATATACAGTATTTGTTGCAGGAGCAAAGACAGCACCTCTATGTGTAGATCTTAGCTCAAGGATCCTCAAGTGTTTTAGGAAGCCAATGAGACCTTTAGACATCCATTCAAAGCAGGAAACTAGTTTTGGTTGGAAAGCCTTAAAATCACATTTTTAATCAACCTTTCAATGAAAATTAAATGTATCAGAACCAAGAGAAATGTGTATTCCAGAGGTGGGGACTATACTTACATTGCTTA